ATAATCCAGTGGCTTTTGGTATATTCAGGAGTTGTGCATCCATCACCGTAATCAATTTTAGAATATTTTCATTGCACCAAAAATAAACCTGGTATTTCTTAGCTTCTACATCCCTTCATTTCCCCTGGCCTAGGCAACCACTAATCTACTTTCTGTCTCTATAGATTTGCCTGTTCTGGACATTTCATACAAATGAAATCTTGCAATCTGTGGTCCTTTGTGACTGGCTTCTTTAACTTAATATGATGTTTTCAAGGTTCATCCGTGTGATAGCATGTCTCAGTATGCATTCTTTTTTATTGCTGAATAACATTGCATTGTGGGGATATACTACATTATATTTATCCATTCATTAGTTGACAGACATTTGGTTTGTTTCTACTTTTTATCTATTTTGAATAATGCTGTTACGAATTTTGTGGACAAGTTTTTGTGTGGACATAAGTTTTCTTTTCTTTTTTTTTTTTTTTTAAAGATTTCATCTATTTATTTGACAGAGAGAGAGACACACAGCGAGAGAGGGAACACAAGCAGATAGAGAGGGAGAGGCACAGGGAGAAGCAGGCTTCCCGCCGAGCAGGGAGCCCGATGTGGGGCTCGATCCCAGGACCCTGGGATCACGACCCGAGCCGAAGGCAGACGCCAAACGACTGAGACACCCAGGCGCCCCTGGACATAAGTTTTCATTTCTCTTGGGTATATACCTAGGAGTGGAATCACTGGATCATGTGGTAACTCTTTGTTTATCCATCCAGTCTGAGGAGCTGCCAGACTGTTTTCTAAAATGGCTGCACCATTTCACATTCCCACCATCAGTGTATGAGGGTTCCGTTTTCAGTGGACATACCACTTGCTCTCCTTAGTATAAATGAGGGCTCTAGAGAAAGGTGTTTACAGTCTTAAAGAGAGCAAGTTGCTTCTGATGCTTCTTAGGACCTTTGTCCCTGCCATGTAGATCTGCCAGAAAGGCCCTGGGTTTGTTGTTTGAGGTGTCTGGAGGCAGCCGCTTCCTCCTTTCCGCTCCCCGAGGAGCTTGTCCTCTCCCTTCTGGTATTGTTGGCTTTGCTTGACTGACTGTTACACCCATTTTTAGGTACAGGCCCAGTCATAAAAGGTTTACAGGTTTTTCTGTGAGCTTTGATTGGTGAGACAGCTTCTCTGTGCAGCTGTGGGAATGTCATACCATTTTTGTCCTTTCTTCTTTCTTCCTATCCTCTCCTTCTCTTAAGAGGAGCCAGTTGCCCTTGAAGGATTGGATATGTATAACTCTTATCTACCAAAGTAAGATGAAACCTGTACTAAAAAACTCGGCCTTTCAGAGGGACCCCTGCTCTCAGAGCGCCAGTTCCTCTTCATGTGTGACTTCCCGAGCATATCATACCTCTAAAGGTCTCAGACTTTCTCTTGTTGCTATAGAGATTCTCATTTCGTGAGCCACAGGCTAACTCACTTGAGCCCTAATCCTTATCGGAACCCCCCCCCCCGCCCCCCCCGCCCCCAGTCAGAGAAGCAGGATTTGGGAAGTTTCTTGAAGCTGATTGGGAAGGACACACACAAACACTAGAGAAGGGGAAGTCTCCCTGTTGGATTTCTGGGAGACAATTTGAAAGGTCTGTTCAAGATGCATGGGAAGACCTACTCCTATAATAATGATAGTAGCTGACATTTGTTGCCAGGCAGTGTGCAAAGGCCTGTTCATGCATTGTCTCATCTAATAAAACTCACCTGTTGGCATCCAAATAACCAGATGAGGAAATGGAGACCTAGAGGTGTGATTTACCCAAAGTCACATAGCTAGGAAGCCAAGAAGCAGGCATTCCTGGGATAAAAATGCATGTGTCAAAAAAAAAAAAAAGCATGTGTCCATCACAACTATGTATTTGGCGTGGCTGGACAGTAGTGGTGCTTGATAAATATTTACCTGAGGGAAGGAAGTAGCAGACACACTGGATGCATGTGCCCATTGAGAAGAGGCAGGAATGAAGGCTAGATGTCTCCCTACCCTTGGAGAGGAAGTTAGTGGTGGAGGTTGACAGGCTTGCTAGGGCCTGTCTTTCTTATCAAGAAAGTTACCCAAGGTGTTACACCATTTCACCCAAAGAAGCCTAGAGTTGACTTTTCTATAATCCCAGGGGAGGAAGGGGAAGACACAGACTTTCCTTATCTACCATTCTGCTGCTCTGATGTTCCTAAGGGCCCCAGTAGGAAATTACACCTGTAAGAATGTACCCCGCCTTTTCCCTCTCCCAGAATCACAGAGGTGGAGCCAGGATGAGAGGAGTGATATACAGTGCAGGCTATTTTAGAAAACTGGCTGATTAACTTTAACTGTGGACCAGACACTGAAGTGCCTTATTGAGTTGAAGGAACTGTTATGCCACAAGTAGGGAAAAGGGTAGGATAGATCCGCTCCTTGGGTTTCTCCTCTAGGCTACCATTGTTCTTGGGGTGTGGTGCCAGAGGTGCCCATTCATGGTTCCAAATTGGCAGTTCCTGGGAGAGGAAAAATGCTTAGTATAGTCTCAGTCAGACGTCTGCTTAGTTCAAACAGTCATGGCTAGCAGGCCAGGCCCTGTGGTTTGGGCATAGCCATCAAGAGCTCCCTGCCCCTGTTATTAGAGAATGTACCAAGAGAAGGGAGTATTGGGTGGCCACCCTCAGGAGTCTACTACCTGGGTGTGAAAAGGCTTTGTTGGAACACCCTTTCACTTGTTGGAAAAGTGATCAGTGGGGCTGCATTGTGTTTGAAAATATTCGGAGAAAGCTAACTCTTAGGGTCTTCATGGGGCTGGAGGAGCAAGATGGAAAGTACCAGGTGCAGATCTCTCTCCGAACTGCCAGAAGGGAGATGGGTCTGGGAAGAATGAAGTAAGTCTCGGTGGGGATGAAGGTTGTTACAAGATTGTTGAGATGTTTAAAAGCATGTAAAACACTTATCCTATGCCTTGCATGTCACATCTCCCAGTGAACTTTAGCAGTGTGTTGTAATAATAGTAATTACAACACCTTTATAGTTTTCATATCTGGCTTCTAAACTTTAAACTTCTTTTCACCTCAAGACTTACAGAGAATTAGCTGAAGGCAGGATTCTGAATGACTCTTAACTGGTGGGTACAACTAAAGAACACAGTGTGTGCCATTGGGCTCAGCCTTCTCCTTTCACCATGTATGATTAGAAAGCTTTGTCATGGGCTGAAGAAAGGAGTTCTTGTATAAAATGTTTCCTTAATTCATTCACTATTCTCTTGGCTGACTTCCTGATACTTGTGTTTCTTAAGTGGTTCGTTTCTCTGAGTCACCCACCTGAGTTGGGCAGCTGTGGCACCGTCCATATGCTCTGTACTCGCACAGGCAGCCTATAGAGCACCAGTTTCCAAATCCTTTCTTGGGGGCCTAGAGAGAGGATGTTGGGGATCCCACCTTTGAGGTTGTATAGCCACTGCAGACCCTTGTGAGATATACTTTCCACCAAAGTTGAAGGCCCTGATCTTGTTGATCCCAAGAGATATTGGGAGAGCACTAAATGAGGATTTCAGAGTGTTGGGTCCAGCACCAGCTGTGTCACTTTTGTACCTTAGTTTCTTCATGGCATTGTTGGGAGGATTCTGGCCGGGATGAGAGTACGCGTATGGAAGGGCTTGTGGACTGCTAGGTGGCAGTGTCAATGCTGTTACTGTCCTTACTAACCTGGGGCTGTGGTTAAGAGCAGAGACTCTTGGTGGTGACCCTGAGGGAGCCCTTTGGTTGAAGCTTCCCAGAATTGTCATCTACCATTATTTGTTGAAACCCATCCCTTGGTCTACTTATCCATCCATCCATCCATCCATCCATCCATCCATCCATCCATCCGGCAGTTATTTATTGAGCTCTTATAGTGTGCCAGGCAGTGTTCTAGGCATTGGGTGAATAAAAAGTTAAAAATTCCAGCTTTCATTGAGTTTATATTCTAGTGGGGGGGCTGAAAATAACTAAATAAAATATGAAGTACCTTTGCACCAACAGACTTGGTGCTTCGGGACCCAGTGGTTGGCATCCTGAAGCAGGTGTCTTCTTCTCTCTCATACACTCTGTTTCTATCATAGCGTGTATCACACAGCTTCCTACCCTACGTTGTGAACACAATGAGAGCAGAGACTGACTTGGGTTCACCATATTTCTCTGGTACCTAGTTTTTTTTTTTTTTTTTTTAAAGATTTTATTTATTTATTTGACAGAGAGAGACACAGCGAGAGAGGGAACACAAGCAGGGGGAGTGGGAGAGG